ACACAGACCGTGACAGGCACTCACGTGACCTATCACAGACCGTGACAGACAGGGCTCTGGACCCATCACAGACCGTGACAAACAGGGTCTGGACCCATCACAGACCGTGACAGACAGGGTCTGGCTGTAACATGCCCGTAGCATGCAGTGTATGCATAATATTTTCCTCTTCTTACTACTTCTTCTCATCTTATATATTGTCCTTATCTTTCTGTCATTACTTCGTACATCATGTTGCACTTTGTCCTTCTCTTCCTTTCTTCTGTCTGATGGACGAGTATATAAGTGTCTGCTTTGTATGTAAACGATGCGGTTATGGATATGAAGAAACATAATAAAGCGTAGTTTCATCAGCGCTAACACTTCTTCTATCTAAAATCGTCACACTGGCAAGGGGAAAAATGCGGATTCTCGGATCCTTTGGATCCGCTTTTCCCCCTTGGGGTGTGGACCCATCACAGATCGTGACAGACAGGCTTTGAACCCATCACAGACCGTGACCGACAAGCTTTGGACCCATCACAGACCGTGATAGAGAAACTGCAGTTCTAAAGTATCAGATAAACGTTTAGCTACAAATGTATTGCAAAGAAATGGAACAAAACGATTTCCATTTAATTAGTAACAACAGATCCATCGTGTTTCACATTTTTAATCCCGCAAGGGATTGCGCTAACAGCTTTTGAATATAACATCTACTTAAGGATCACAGGAAGTTTTAACGAAAGTTTCTTTCCTTATCCGACATTCGACTAGTCCATTCTCAGATCTGAGATTCGCCTAGGCAAATCTGAGGTTGGACTGAATCCGAGATTGGACGCTGACATATATATTGGCATTTATGAAGATAGAAAAGAGATGATGTTGGTAAGATGTGTATCACAATCTACACAAGAAGAAGAGAAAATGACAAGATAAAGCGTATAGAAAATATAAGATAATATAATTTGTTGTGTATTTAATTACTCCATTTAAATTGCATATTACTAAAATATATTATTGTGAAACGTGACCATAAAAGAAATTGATATTTTATTTTCAGCTACGAGTAAATTTCAGATGAACATGGTCAATTACTGCTACCTAGTAACGGTAATTGATCACGGAAAGTACTGTTGAAATAATAAATGAAGTTGTACTTTTTTCTTCGTTGCAGAACTATCAATCCTTCTTTATATTGCTGTTTAAAATTATATTTTCTTACTATAAGAATTTTAAAAAAGATTTATTTTTCTAGCTCCTATGACATTAAAGTATCAAGATAAACCACGTGCAGAAATACTTGCTTATCTTATTTCAATGCCTGTTCAACTTAAATATCTTTTTGTTCAAAAATTTGAATGGCTTTTATTTGCTATTCAATATGTAAGTATTGATTTAATTTGAACTTTTCAAATGTATAACTGATAAAGTCATCATTAAATATTTTAAAAATCTTATTATCTTGTTTGTTAGAATTTTTCAACTATCAACTAAATACGCACAAATATTTGTGTTCTAAGATTCTCTTTATATTAAATTGTTATCATAAGATATTTTAAGATATTATTTTTTCAATTACATTTTTTTTTCTCTGATCTTATAATAATATCGAATAAGAAATAAATCTAACGACTTATGAGATGATTAGAAAATATAAATCAAATTCGATTTTATTTTACAAATCGATTCACTAAACTCTAAGTTAAATGTATATTTATTTAAAACAATATAAATAACAATAAATCGAATAAAATAAAGTTTATTGAAAAAGAAATTTTATTTAATACAATAAAATAATTATTTCATATCATTTTCAGGCTTCTCATCACTTGAGAAAAAATGCATTAAATACTGTTCGATATGCTGAATTTAGTATTTCAAGTTGTAATGTTGGTAATAATGATTCAACTCAGATTGGCGAACTTCTTGTACCTATTCTGAATATTTATATGCCTTATTTACAAACATTACGTCTATGGAGACCAGATGATTTTCCTTGGACCTCAAGTAAGTTTAGTTTTCAACTGAATACTATTAAGATATTGTCATTTTATAATGTTTTCAGAGTGGAGAAAAATTGATGTTTTATTGATCAGGTCTTTTTATTAGATTTCGGAAGACTTCTAAACGCTTCATGAAACTATCGAAACTATATGGAGATTCATTCGACTTAATTTTTTCGGACTTCAGCGGACTTTGAGAAAACTTAGAAACCATATAAAATATAAATCTAAACTCATAATATGAACAAACAGCTTTTCAGTTGTCGATAAACGAAGTTGATCGATTATCAGTTGATAAACTGTTTTGAGAGATAAAAACAAATAAAATTAATTAATATTCATCATACAATTGATACTAAATTAATAGAACACTTCTCTACAGAAATAAACAATGTCATTAAGAAAGCATTGAATTGTCAACTAACGATAGGACATTTTTGAGTTGACATGAGCTTAAAATTTTTTGCGGCATATTGACAAAGCAATAAAAGTTCACAAGATTTCTGCTAAAATAAGATCACTGAAAACAAGCAGTTACAGTGATAAGTATCATAAAGAATATTGACTCAGAGAGCTCTAAGGTAACTTTATACGAAGTTTTCTTTATGATATCCTGTTTTAAAATACCTTCAACAGTATCCGAATCATTCAATTTTGTAGAGAATTTTTCGTGAACTAAACTTATTCCAAAAGTTTTAGAAGACTTCATAAGACTTTAGAATCGAAGTTTACTATTTCTTCATCATCATAAACTCGTCTTCAAAGATCTATAATTATTACAGAAAAGCTCTGTTTTATTTATTTCTTCGCTTCAAACACGTATTTCTTTCTTTCTATTGATGTTCCATCTATTAATTCTTTTGTTACTAAATTATTATTTATAAGCAGAAATTTAGTAACAAAAGAATTAATAGATAATTTGATTTTGAGTGCTCGAGAAGCAGCAAAATTTAAGATTAAATTTCTATAGATTATTCTCGTCGAACGACATCAATGAGTTGTACAAGAATGTATAGCAATAATGTGTGAAAAGTATAATCTAATGTTCATAAAACTTTTTTTTTCGACTGTTTGAACTTATTGAAAAAACGAATTGAAATCCTAGTCAAAGTAATTATGAAAATATATCAAATGACTTTTATTTCATTTAAAAAATTTTATTAAATAAGATTATTTCTTTTGAATGATTTTACAATAAAGATGAGTAAAACACGTTCTGATTACTAATTTTTTATTTGAAAAAAGAAAACGAAAAATCTTTTTTTGAATTTAGAAATGTTTCTTTAATATATATTCTTTTTTGACTTTTTTTTTATTTCTTTAAGCTCGACCGAGCTTTCAATCTGGAAAGTTGTATAAAAAGTGTATGAGACAATGGAGACAAACTCTACGTACACCTAAATCTATCAGTATGGAATTGAAATATATTTATTTCTAGAAGAATAAAATTATTGTTATTTAGATGAACATGTTATTGTATTTGAACAAGATCTTTGTCAATTAGTCGAGCAATTAAAACAACTTGTTTATCTTGATATTTATGGCCAAATTGATCCTAAAAAAGTCAAACCTTATCACTTAATGGTTCAAAAACGGTTTCCAAATAGTCGAAATGATATTCAAATCTCAAGATTTTCTCTTTGGATTTAATTATTATTATCTATAATAGAACTATACGCTAAAGAAAATTATCATGTTTCTCTTTTTTCTTTGATGATTAATTTCATCAAGACTTTGTTTGTCTTTTTTTTTAAAAACAAAAACAAAAACAATATTCATATTCATCTATAACAAGATTTTTTCTGAATAAATCTCACATATGTAACAGAATCTTTAATCAACAATCATATTAACAATAGAAACATTAATAACTGTTCTTTGATTTGTTTGATTTATTCTTCAAACATCACAGAAAATGCATAAAAGAAAGTAATTAAATATACATTGACTTGATCTTAATTGATATTAGAGTATCTGCGCCGAAACAGTCGGCAAAGAGCAAAGTTTTTAACGCTCATTTAATCTGCAAAAGAGACTAATCTTTTAGAAAATAAATCAATAATTGGAAAGAACAACAGATAGAATTGTGTTCAAATGCGATTTTATTTTTGTCCTTTTTAATATGTAGTAAGAGAAGACTTCTAATATTTGTTGTCGATTAGTTAATAGAAATAAATTTATTTGAAACAAATTATTATGTCAAATCAAAAACTGGAAAATTATAAAGAAATTAATTCATTGTAAGTAACAGTTTGTTGTTTTTCAAATAATAAATAATCCAAAATGACATTTGTTATACATTTTATCTTTTATTAAGGTAGACCAAATCATTTTGAAATGAATAAGGTATATCCTTTCTGTCTATGTTAAAATATCTTTTCATCTTGTCAATCGTAATGATAAACAAAGAAACTTAAAAACCAAATTTTAAGGTTAGATTGCATTGATACGTCATTTCGTTCTCATTAAAACAAGTGTTTAAATATAGTGTGAAACTACCTTGATTATTTCACTAGATGACAAATATTGCTGATTAAACCTGACTGAAATTTCAAAACCCTATAAGAATAGTCAAAATAATAAATCCAATTATGCTGCAATAAAAACAATATTTTAATCTATTAAAATCGAATTTTGTAGCAAATTTTTATCAGATGGTAATTCGTTATAATCTAATTATCATCGATTATCGTTTAGGTATAATTTTCAAAACAAACAGATTGTAATTAATTATAATTATGATTCTGTTCCAGAATAATTCGATTTATGATTTTGATTATAATTGATTATTAATCAATTACAGTTGACTAAAAACTCCGACTTTAATCGATTTTAATCCACTTAATAGGAATTTTCACTTACATGAGCAAGTATCATTTAGTACTGTATCTGAAAGTGTGGTATGAATGTGAATGGTTGATCTAGTTTTATATTTATCAGTTATGGAGGCAAGGAATTCGAAAAAATAATCAAAAACGAAAGTTTTAAAGTAAAAACTCATAAAAAACACGTTTTATAGTCACCGCGATTTAAATCGATAAAAATAATCCAATCGTCTAATTAAAATCTGGTTTAATGATAAATCATCAATTATATTCAAATAAGAATCCTCAATCAGATTTGATCGGATTAATATTTCAATCAATTATAAAAATTATAATCGAATTTAAAATCAGAAATGTCCATCGCAACTCAGTCTTCTACTGGCGGACCGCGATCATGGAAAGAAAAAGCTCTCGCACCCCTTCTGTACTGCAACGAAAAGCTAACCCTCTTGCATCGCTGTCGCATCATGACGATGTGGGTGTGGGTGGGTGGGGTGTGGATATGGCAAGGGAGAAAATCTCATTCGGGCATTCCGAGCCATTCCGAGCGAAACACATATATCCAGCATTTGTCTGCTACCGAGTCAAAGGTTAAGGGTCAAAGGTAGGGGTGGGTGTGGGTGTGAGTGTGGGTGTGGGGTGTGTGGATGTGGGTATGGGTGTGGGTGGGTGTGGGCTTCGACGAACACAAGACCGCAGCAACAGCCCACACCCACACCCACCCACATCCCACATCCACACCCACACCCACACACCCCACACCCACACTCACACCCATACCCACACCCACACCCTCCTATCAATTCTGGTCACTTTTTTCTTCCCGACATGATTGAACCCTATCAATGTAAACAATAAAGTGAAATAATCAATAAACTGCAAAAAACAGTTTGTAATTTTACTAAATTCTTATATAATGTCTTGATATGTGTATAAGACTTAGCATAGTTTATGGAAGAGATGACTGAAATGTTTCTATTCTATTTTCTTGTTCTATATATTTTTTTTTGACTGCTCTCTTCGGCATGTAAACGAAATTTATGAATCTATAGAGGAACAAGAGAATCTCAATAGCATACTGACAATTATCACCTTAATTTATCACGTGAGGTTTCACATTGTGGCTCTCTATGCATCAGTAGTTCAAGCACTAGCGTTGTGATCTATCTATATTGTAGAGCAAAGCTTGCTTTAATAAATAGAACACGCACTAATTCGGCTAGTTTTGAGTCTGGATTACGTTTTTTTTACCGATGTTTGTCCCATATTTTCTGACTACTTGAATAAGATGGTATGAATATTTGGTTTCAGAGCACAATTTTGCTTGTGGTTGATACTAGCTAGTTATGTGAAACAAAACCGAAAATGCAAACAAAGTATGAAAGACGCTCACTTTTATACGCCAAATGGCTGTATCAATCCAAACGAAACAGGAGTAGCGTGATTACAAGAGAGAAAAAATATCATTTCTGTTCCTCTTTTACTTTAATAGTACAGCAACAGCACGATTTGGCAGCCTAAAATATAAAAAAAAAAAACATTTTTCTTCAATCTCTCATTTAGAACGAAAGAGAGAAAGAACTATGAATCACAGTTTTCATTTCGTGTCTAGTTACGAGGGGATGCAATAGCAAACGTTGGATGTATGATACACTAAACAATAGTAGTTATTCTGTCGACATAGTGATGCTTAATAGGATCGTCGCTTATTTAAATTTAGACATCCAAAATACGTTCTTGCGAGCAGAATAATCGATTCATATTGAGACCTTCTTTCGTCGTTACATCTATCGAATATTTTCTAACTGAGACATATATTTGCTAATTTCTCGAACGGTTGTTCTATTTGTACTAAAGCTTTGAAGAAAAACGATACAAAAGTGATATATGACAGAAAGGAATCGTAGTTTTGTTCAGTGAAACGTTTGTTGACGATTTGATGAGCATCATGCGATATCGACATTCTACTACACAAATGTTAATCATGTATTTTGACGCAAAGTGACAATTTTTCTTGTTATTGATGATGCTGGGCACCACCTTCTTTCTACTAGTACATTGTGAATATTTTGCCGCCGAATTATCGATGAAAACAGTCACAGTCAAAGACATCCATTTATTTTACATTAAAAGTATTAATCCAACACTACAAATTCACTATTATTTTATCAGTCTGCCGCAGGTTTTTCTCACTGAGAACCATATAAACAGAAAATAAAACAACATGATTTCTCTCTTTCATATATCAGACCTGATTATTAACCGAAATCAAGATAGTTTGTTCGTTTTTTCCTTCTAAACGAGAGCACTTTAACTTAACATAAACAAGCAGTGTGTGTGTTCCATCTCTTTTTAGAGTGATCATGCGTAACTGCTTCACAGCGACTAGTTAACTATTTCTTTCTCTACGTTAATTATCAACGTTAACATGTGTTCATACAACCATAATACTGACAATTTTTTCGTCTTTTTTTGCCAGTAGCAGGTCTATGTTCATGCGTCATACGCATATCAATGACTGAATACTTTCGAGATAAAGAACGTAAAATTACATTCTGACTCACTACATACTAATGTGACAACAACATGTGTCGCAATGCTCAGTTAGCAAATGATTCCAATGAGAGATCAGTCTCAGCGGGTTTAACAAAAGCTATTTAAAGTTTGCGGGCCCACAGAAAATGAAGTGGCACGTACAACTAAAGCACTAAGGAAGAGACAGAAAAAAAAAAGCAAGTTGTTGTGACACTAGTCAAAATGAATCAAGTCGAGCATGAAGAGATGACTAGCGATGCAATCGCTGGGGTAATTCGAAAGTATGGGTGTGGGTATAAGTTTTCTCATTACCAATATCCATACCCGTACTCACATCTCTTATCCCCAAGCTTATTTGCAGAACAATAAATGTTGTGAAAAATTGAATGTTTAGCGACCGATACTTATTAGATTCATCTGAGTTTTACACCAAACTTAAAATATCTATATATTCTATTTAATTGACTGGTCCATGGAAATAATGCTTAATTTTCAATGCAGAAACATTATTCTCCTAAATCTATTCTTAAGAGATACATCTTAATTGAAGCAATCGTTTTACAATATCGGTTACATTTCTAAATGATATATTTCTTTTTGAACAACATAATTTATTCAAAAAGAGCTCTCGTTAGTAATATTTTCACTACGGAAAAACATTGTTCAAAAACAAAGAGATTAAGTGATCAAAAACAAAAAAAATACGTAAAAACTTATCTAAAATTGAAAAATATGCTGTTGATCTTTCATTATAATAAAACTTATCAAGTTGTGTCGAAAATAAATCGGACCAAAATACTCTTTTTCACCAGCATTAATCTGCAACTGAAATGTTTTGAGTGTTGAGCCTACTTATGCGCATAAATGTGCACCTAGGAGAATTCCTTACGCTTATATAACGTCATATGTGATCAAGTAGACTTTTAAAATCATATTAAGGCCGCAGTGACTGGTGGAAAAAATCTGAGATATATACTTACTTTGTTTAACCCTGTTCCAATATCGACCTCCTGAATAGCTATCGAAGTTCGAGTATTCAGAAATTGTTTTATTCAATATTCAGTGAAACTTTGAGAACTCTGAGAGTGAAAATTTACTGAAAGAAGACTGCTAAGTTCTCAGATATATTTCAGTCACTTGAAATCAATCACGGTTGCTTGTGGGTGCTAGTGTGAGTATTATGTTCTCTTCGACACCTACAACCTCCTTCTTTGGGTATCGACTACACATAGTTATTTATTCTTGAGCTCAACTAATGATTGAGGAACAGCAGACGAACATAGTAATGAT